GAGAGAGAGAGAGAGAGAGAGAGAGAGAGAGAGAGATGAGCGATACAAGTTTGGTTGTCACATACCTGTGAAGTGTGTCGTGGGAGTGAAGAGGTGGCCATAGCCGCGGAGCTCGACCACAGAGTAACGAAGGAGGTGAAAGGGAGGAAGAAGGGAGAGACCGGAGAGAGTGAAGGAAGCCATAGCCGAGGAGGTGAAGGGAGAGATGAACAAAAAAAAAAAAAAAAGAGAGAGAGAGGAGATAGTCGGGGTGAAGAAGAAGGAGGTGAGGTAGAGAGGAGGAAGGACAAGGGTGGCGATGGAGGAGCCGGCCGCCATAGCCAGAGGTGACCGGAGGAGTTGACCGGGCGTTGACCGGAGTTGACCGGGGGTTGACCGGGGGTTGACTGCAACGTTGACCAAGTGTTGACCAAGGCGTTGACCAAGACCGTTGACCATGACTTTGACCAATCTGGAGCCGGTATAATCTCGCCAAGCCTTCAGCCTATCCCCTCGCCCTATGGATGTGCACACACGCTGTGGTACTTGCTGAGTCAAGTCTGTCTGTCTCTGCTTTTTGCATCGAGTCTCTTCTGTCCAGGTGATAGGAACTCTGTGGATGAAGGATAGGGCCTTGTTGACCAAACCCACACGGGCTGAGTAGGGCTAAAGACTGTGTCTGACGACTCGACTGTCCCGGAGGACACGAACCCTCCTAAGAACCGGTACTGACCGGCGGGCTGTTCAGTGTGGCACGGTAGGCCCAAATTCCGAGCTGTGGGCTGCACAACAGGCCGTCTAAGTCTTGAGGAACCTGCTGATCGCGTCGTCCTGTCTGCGGCGTTAAATAATTCCTGAGGAATTACGGGGGATCTCCTTAAATGCCTCCTGATCAGCAACAGGTCTTGTAGTGACAACCTTAGAGTAGGTCTAGGCTAGAGACCCTAGTTGACAGGATCCTGTTCGGATTCTGTAAGTCCTTAGATTGAGTCAGTAGGTTTGTCAGTTAGGGGGTAGAGTCTAAGTGGTGAGGAGTGGAACCGTTGACCGGTTGTGCACCTGACACCATGGTTGATACACATAGTGGCAAGAGTACTGCCTCACAGTCCGAAGCCGAGCAGGCTCGGATCGCTGCCATACTGAGGGAGAGAAAAGAGAAGAAGGAGCTCCTCAAGCAGGCGAAGCTAAAGGCGATAGCGGAGGAGCAGGCGACAAAGAAGAAGAAGTTAAAAGAAGAGATGATAAGGTTACAGAAGGAGAAGATGATGATGCTACAACAGGAGGAGGAAGAGAAGAGGAAGGCTGCTGAAGAGGAAGCAACAGAAGAGGAGGAAGTGGAAGAACCCCTTGAAAGCAGGCGAGGGGGAGACAAAGGAGAGACAAGTGGCACGAAGGGAGAGGACGTCTAGATGGAGAAAAAGATCAGCGAGTGGGTAGCTAATTTATCGTTGGGGTACGTGCCGCAGGAGGAGAGAGAAACGTTTGCCAGGGAGTTGGAAGCGATAGACGATCCCCTGGAACGCCAGACAACAGAGGACGAAAAGAAGTTGGAGTGGAAGTTACGTATGATGAGGGAGAAGAAGAGAAGGAGGGAGGAAACCAACCGGGTGGCTAGAGAGGTGGCGAGAGTCCGGGCATGTAGGCGGGAGGTTCAGGCACAGGCCGAAACCCCTGCGAACTTAGATAAGATTCTGGGTTACTTGGAGGTTCTGAGTGAGGCCTGGCTCGAGGAGCATCAAGCTAATAAGGGTCAAGATGTGACCCTTCATGCCATCCGAGCCGGTTTCAGAGAGTTTGCGCGCGACGTGGTAACCCACGTCGGGACCGAAGTCAAAAAGTTAAAGGAAGGCGCAAAAAAGTTTTGTGCCAGCGCCATTGAGGGTGCCAAAGTAGTGGCCAGAGCAGAGGCGGAGTCGCGTCCCCACAAAGAGCCTGTAAAGCTCAACTTTCCTGATTCTTATAGCAGGAAAAAGGATGATAACTTTGATAACTGGGAGGCCAGTATCAACACATACGTGTATCTGCAGCATATTGCCCCCGAGGAACAGGTCCTCGTGGCCTTTCATGCATTAAAGGACGAAGCGGCTAGTTTTGCCAGGTCCCTCGCGCGCTCAGCCGATTGTGAAAACAATATGGTTGCATACTCTTGACTAACCCCTCTCTCCACTTTCCTCAAACTCCTGCGAGAGAGGTCCACTGATGTTACAAGAGGCGTCAGGGCCTCTGATAAATTATAGACCATCCACTCGCGACAGTGGAAGACTGCGCGAGCACTCAAAGCCGTCATGGACGACTTGGTAGCAGTCCCAGAACACGGGGTCACTGAGACCCAGCTGGTCCAATTGTTCTATCGTGCCATGCCAGAGCCCTTGAGGGGGKATTTCTTTGACAAGACCCAACAGGCCAACATAATGTATGATGCGTTGAGTCGCGAGGTAGTCCTGTTTGAGGCAAAGTCCATGCCAGTCTCCACTTTCTGGCACATGGACTTAGACAAGGGCAAAAAGTGGAAGGGTCGACCATCTCTGGCCAAGTTAGGGCCAAGGATCATCTGACCCTCACCTTAGATGAAGGTGGTACAAACGAGGTCCCCTACAATCAGACTGAGTGGGGACTTGAGGAGGAGGACAGTAGTATAGGCCAGGGGAGGACCTATGCTGCAGTCGCGGCTGGAGGGAGGCCGCAAGGTCGAGGAGGAGGCCAGGGCCAAAGGGGCCAGGCCACAGGAGGCCGAGGATCGGGCGCACAGGGGGTTGGCGGTCAAGGTAACCGTCAAGTGGGAGGTAGGGGTCAAGGTCCCCCGCCAAATCGTCAAGGTCCCAGTCGGTCTCCGCAGCGACGAGGTGGCAGGTCACCTCAAAGGTCAGGAGGTTGGCACCCAGGTTGGCCACAAGGCCGGCCTTGGGAAGATTTGGGCCTGGAGAAAGTTTGGCAGCAACGTATGGAGCAGGGGTAGTGCATTTACTGTGGTGACCCTGCCCATATTATTAAATATTGTCCTAAGTATAGACACGCTTGATGGGCTGCCCAGGAGTCAAAAGGCAGTCGCCGGTAGAGGTTGCAACTGCCCCTACTATTAGGCCATGTGGGGAAGCGAGCGCGCGCGTACAGGAAACTCCCACACCACATGCGCCTTCGGCAGAGGTTGCAGGCCCGTGCCTAGTTAGCTGTCCATAGACTGCTTGTGTTAGCGTCTCTCTAGGTACTTCCCTCACAGGCGTGGCAGAAGAGTTGAAGGAGAGGATGCCAGCCTGGGCCAAAATGAAGACAGATAGTAAAGGGCAGCTAGATGTAGAAGTTTTCAGAAGTAGAGTAGGGGCCCTTATCGATTCAGGGGCTAGTCGTAGTTATATTAGCTGTAAAGCGCTGAAGAAGCTGAGGCTAGGATTGAAGGTTCAAAAGTTAGAAGACCCCATAGTTAGTGTCCTGGCAGATAACCGCACTATGCGTGGTGAGGACTACGTGGAGGGAGTCCAAGCGTATTTCTGCATAGAGAAAGATGGGAAGGTGGAGAAAGTTATCCACTCCCTGACTCTCCTCCTACAGGATGACCTTCCTTTCGATATAGTCCTAGGTATGGACTGGGGAGAGGCAGCAGGGGCCACACTCCACTTGAGAGAGCATGAGTGTAGGCTCCCTAGTCCGTCTGGCGAGGTTAAGACTGCCCGCCTGTTTCATGTGTCTGGAGTAGATAACTCACTGGCGCATTGGTCTCTCAGTGGTCCCGCATTCGCGCGATTAGTGAGAAAGGAGCAGTTAGACGACTAGGTCTTCGTAGTGTATGTTAGACCTGTCACTGAGCCTAAGAAAGAGGATAGTTCCATGGATCCAGCCATTGCCAAGTTGCTGGAAGAATTTAAAGATCGGACAGAGCCGCCGACAGGAGTAGTATCGCGACCGATCCAACATATATAATAGAGATAGAGCCTGGCAGTAAGACTCCTAAGGGAGCAGTCTACAAGATGTCCCCTAGAGAGTTAGAGGAGCTGCGCAAGCAATTGGATGAGCTCCTAGAGAAAGGTTGGATTAGGTCCAGTTCGTCTCCTTTTGGGGCACCAATTTTGTTTGTCCCCAAGAAACTATAAGGGTATGAATGTGATCACAGTTAAAAATGTTGAACCACTGCCCAGGATAGACGATCTCTTAGATCGGGTGCAGGGTTGCAGATATTTTTCAAAGATCGATTTGAAGTTCGAATATCATTAGACAGAGGTCCATCTTGATGACCAGTACAAAACTGCATTCCGGACTAGATATAGGCACTACGAGTTTATAGTGATGCCCTTTGGACTGACCAACTCACCTGCTACATTCCAGCACTGTATGAATGATTTGTTTAGGCCGTGGTTAGATAGATTTGTCGTAGTGTATTTAGACGACATCTTAGTGTTTAGTAGGACCCTCCAAGAGCACCAGGGTCATTTGAGGCAGGTCTTGGAGAAGCTGAGGGAGGCTAACTTCAAGATCAATGCAAAGAAGTGTGAGTGGGCCAAGACACAAGTCCTGTACTTGGGCCAAGTCTTAGACGGAGATGGCATTAAGCCTGAGGACAGTAAGATAGCGGCGATTAAAGACTGGCCGACGCCCCGCACGTTGATAGAGTTGCGGTCGTTCCTAGGCCCATCGAACTAAGTTCGTGAGGAACTTCTCGACTATCGCCGCACCCCTTCGCAGGTTGCTCAAGAAAGAGGCAATCTGGCAGTGGGATAAAGACTGCACGTCTGCGTTAAAGAAGTTGAAGCGCGCGCTAGTAGAGTATCCTGTCCTCAAAGTAGCAGATCCATCCTTGCCATTTGTCGTCACCACGGACGCTAGTCAGTATGGTATAGGCGCCATGTTACAGCAGGACGACGACAATGTCTATAGACCCGTAGAGTTTATGTCAGCGAGGATGCCCTCAGAGAAAGTGGCTACCTCGACATATGAGAGAGAACTCTACGCTCTCAGTCAGGCTTTAGAACACTAGAAGCATTACCTGCTTGGGAGGCACGTCAATGTGTATTCAAACCACGAGACCCTTAGGTGGTTGAAGACACAGGCTAAAATGACACCTAAGTTGACTAGGTGGGCCGCTGAGATAGACCAGTACGACTTTGAGCTCAAGCCTGTTAAAGGCAAGTACAACGTAGTTGCGGATGCTCTGAGTAGGAGATCAGACTACTTTGGAGCCATAGTTCACTATCTGGACATAGGGTGTGACCTGCAAGAGAAAGTTAGACAGGCTTATGCGCATGACCCTATTTATAGTGACCTCCTCAAGAGGGTTAAGGAGGCCCCAGAGACCGACCGTCTGTGCATTCCTAACAACGAGGAGATTCGTAGTTTGATCCTAGGGGAATGCCACGACACAAAAGGACACTTCAGTTGGCAAAAGACTCTAGCCAATCTAATGCACGCGTATACATGGCCAGGAATGAAGAACGACTGTATAGAGTATGTCCGCAGTTGTAAAGTCTGCCAGAGAAACAAGAGCACTGCGCGTGCCCCTTTAGGTCTTCTCAGACCCTTGCCTATTCCTGACCAGCCCGGAGATTCTGTGCCCATTAACTTTATGGATACTCAAGTCAAGAGTAGGCACGGCCAGAGCCAAGTCATGGTCATAGTCGATAGATTTAGCAAGTATGTTGTCTTTGTTCCTTTGCCTGCAGAGGCTCGTACGTAGTTAGTGATTCAGAAGTTTTTTGACTTTTGGGTTAGTGAGCATGGAGTCCCATAGTCTATTGTTAGCGATAGAGATAGTCGCTTTACGAGTCAAAACTGGTAGGAACTGATGAGAGTCTAGCGATCCAAGTTGTTGATGTCATCTGGCCGTCATCCAGAGACTAACGGTCAGACTGAGCAGATGAACAAGATCTTGCAGCAAGTTCTGCGTATGTACATTAGACCTGATTAGATTAACTGGGACGAGATGTTACCCAAGGTAGCCAGTGCATACAATAACAGCGTGCATTTGTCCACCTGTCACACTCCCAACGAGTTGCACAAGTCCTTTAGACCACGTAGACCGTTTGAAGGACTTAACCGGGATCAGATTCATAGGCTACCGTTCAGTACTAGGGAGTTTGCGATACAGCACGAGAAAGAGATAGCCACTGTTGTTGAGAACCTCAGGAAGGCCCAACCCCGGATGATAGAACAGGCTAATAAGCACCATCGCCCGTCACCGTTCCAAGTAGGCGACTTAGTCTGGGTCAAATCCAAAGAGTTTGCTCCTGAGGAAAACATCTCGCAGAAGTTACTGCCCGCGTTTAGACTGAGGCGAGTGGGCAAGTGGTGGAGTCTACCCGTGCTGAGTCAGCAGTCCCAGTTCCAGTCAGTCCTAGCCCAGTTAAGCAAGTACCGCATGGGACTGTGTGCACTACGGGCGCATGGGAAAGGGCCAGACCAGCAAGCTACAAAAGTATAAATCAAAGGGCAGCGTCCAACCATTTTTATTCATTCCTGCGTGAGCCATGCGGAAGCGCTGCTACAGCGACTTGTGCGAGGTGGTCTGCAGTGAGCCCGAAGACGAAGTGGGCGAGAGAGAAGAAGCTTAGCCATAGCGATAGGTTAGCGGCGGCCATAGCCGCCATAGCTGTAGGTAGAGTGTAGCGTGTGTGTGTGTGTGTATGTGTGTACAGAGTATCGCGTGTGGGATATCCAGGGTGATCCTGTGTGTGCGAACAGAGAGTTGTGTGGGCGCTGTATCTCCATAGCCAGTGAAGTGAACTTGTACCAGAACTGCGTTCTTGGCTACCATATCTTTGAGTTTTGAGTGGGCGCTGGTCGCCAGTTTGCTGCGCACCTGTTTGCATGCATGTGAAGTGTGAATGAGAGCGAGTCTGATTGCAAACGGAAGAGGAGAAGAAGAGGAGGAGGAGGAGGAGGGAGG